CAATGTATTGTCTCCATCTCTGCAACCGGCTTCCTTGTCCATGAAGCTATTAAGCAAGTACTAGGGTGGCAAGGAAAGAAGCAAACTGAGATTCACAGGGCACAGGGCAGGCAGTCTTCCGTCTCCATACTTAGAATCTACAGTGAGGTCTCTTGTGATCATCCAATGTGGCACAAATATTTTCCCATATTGGGGCCTGTTATGACATGTGCATCCACATTCCTCTTCCCCAAACCTTCCTTTATGTCTCCAACCATCATCCAAACTGCCTATGACATGGTGAAGGCCTGTCTTTCAGTACATCTCTCCTCCCAGGCAGAGTACAGTGTGGACCACTCTGAGTTCTGCTCCCTGGGAGGATTTCCTTTCCCTACTTTCCCTCGTCCCAAGTGGGACTGCAAATAAATTCCTGCATGTGCCGACAAAACTTGCAGGGTCATCTGTAAGCCAGATTGGTCTTTTTTCCCCCTTGGTGAACTGCTCATTCTCCCAAAGACCATGGCCATGAGGGAGGGGCAACATGGCAGGAGGCACACTTTGAGGATAAGGCACTGACTGCCCTCACAGCTCATGTGAGCAGGCAGCCAAGTGGAGCTCGGTGCTGAAACCACTCCCACCAGATGAGGATGTGCTGCTGGGCTGGGTCCATGCAACTTCCGGCTTGGTGGATCAAGTAACTTCCAGTTCAAGATGGGGAGTTTAGGTCACATGATCACTTAGTGTCCCATGGTCAAGTCCCCAGTAGCAAGCCAAGAGTTATTTCCAAAAGGAGAATAATGACTTGCGCAAGAGAATTTGGCTTTGCTCCAAAAGCTAAGAGCCTGCAGCTGTGCTTCCGCTACTGGGATTTGCGGCAGGCTCCACACAGCATCCGGGTCCGCCACAGTCGCTCTGAGCCTCATCAGATCTCCTGCCTCAGGAGGGCATTAGTGATGCTTACAGTGGGGCTGGACAGATGGAGGGTCCTCTCTTGTCCAGGCCTCCGTCAAAAGTAAATGAGTCAGAGCAGCAAGCCCAAAGCTGATGTAGTCCGCCTTCAGATGCCAAAGAGTTTCATCAGCATCTGTGTCTTTCTAAGTGGTGGCACTGATAGCTGCAGCTCCTACAAAGATATGGCATTGCTCTCATGTGTCTATTTTGTTTTTTGTGTTTTTGAGTCGGAGTTTCACTCCGTCGCCCAGGTTGGAGGGCAGTGGCACACTTATGGCCACCGCAGCTGGACCTGCTGGGCTCAGGCGATCCTTCCGCCTCAATCTTCCAAGAAGCTAGAACTACAGACATGGGCCATCACACCTGGATAATTTTTTTTGATTTATTGTAGAGATGAGGTCTCGCCAAGTTGCCCAGGTTGGTCTCGAACCTGTGGGCTCAGGCAATCCTCTCACCTTGGTCTCTCAAAGTGCTGGGATTATAGGCATGAGCCACCATGCCTGGCCTTGTGCGCCTATTTTGTTAGGAAGGGGGAGCCTTGGGAGTGTGATGTTGGTCCTTCGGGTCATCCACACCCTTAAGCCATGGGTCACAAAGCCATCATGGGGATTCTGCAATTGCTGAGGGTATTCTTCCAACTAGACCCAGGAATGGGTTAAATTACTGGACAGGTTTTCCCCGAGAAAACTGAAGCAGTCAGAAGAGAACTTCCACAGTCTACCACCGCACATCCGCCCACCTCTAGCATCTGCTCCCACTTACAGTGTGTCCTTCTTCAACACATGTCTCTGTAATGAGCATTCAGTTGAGTACTGCTAAGTAGAGAGATGATGTCACTATAATGTGGAAATCGGGCCGGTTTATTTGGTCTATTGATGCTCTGTGTCACCAGATAAGAACAGGTGAACATGAAGGACACCAGGGGAATGAGCTGAATGAACAAGCAAGGAAAAACAAGGCAGTTGCATGACAACCATAATTGCAGGCTTTTCCTGATTCCGCCTTGGCCAGATGCTGTCCATTGTGCAATTCAGCAGCTCCTGCCCTTCCCTATGCCCATGTCTATCCAGGTGCCTTTGCCCTTTTCTAGGAAAGGTAAAGTCCTTTATTTACTGGCATATTTATTTATTAGGACTGTAACATGCCTTTTTAACTGTGCCAATGTTTTCATTACAATAGGTGTTCTTGTTAGCGCTTGGGTTGCAGAGTTGGATAGGCTTGGAAGGCTCTGCCCCAACTCGATGTTTTTTCATAAATTGTTATTTTTTAGCGCATGAATTGGAGAATGAAAAAATTTTCAGGAGCTTATCATACTACAGCAGAAAAGTCTGCGTGCTGCCTTCCCACCCATAACCGTGGATAAATTATTCATGCTCCTCTCTGAAGCGAATTCTCCCACTTGTGGATGGCTTTCCATTCTGGTTCGAGGATATCGCTCCACCACTTATCCTCCTTTTATTACTTCATCAACGTCTCGTCTTTCCTGGAACATTTTTTGATCCAACATTAAAAAACTTGCTACTCCCCACCTCACTTGCAATCATTCTCTTGATTCCACATCATCCCCACTTCATTTACGTCCCCTTTTCTGCAGAACTAGTTGAGTTGTCTATGCGGATTATATACAGCTCCTTTCCTACTTCTCTTAAGCCCACTGTGGTCTAGTTTTGCTTTCACTCCACTCCACCAAAACCCCCATTGCCAAGGTCACAGATGACCTCATTGCTAAATCCATCAGTTTCCAGTTTCCAAACATCAGTTTCAAGTTTATCTTACTTGGTCAGTTAACAGCATTCACAGGGCTGAACACGCTCTCCCCCATGTCCTATGTCAATGTGCTTTCTAGGCAACCACACTTGATTTTTCTTCTACTTTGCTGGTTGTTCTCAGTCTTCTCTGCAGATTTCTCCTCTTCTCCCAAGTTCTTAATATTAGAAGAATTCAGTGTTCAGCCCAGTCTTCCTGTTTCTCCTACCCTCAATCCTTCGGTGATCCCATTCAGTTTTATGCCATCTAAATGCTGACAATTCCCTAACACATATCTCTGGAGCAGACCTTTTTCTTAAACTGCAGATCCACATATTCAATTGCCTCATCAAAATCTCCATTTTATGTTTAATGCACGTTTCAAAATTAGCAAGTCTGAAAACGTCTAGCAAGCAAGTCTAAGCACGATTTGCTGGTTTAGACAGTCTAGACAAGACTAATTTAGACTTGTCTAGACTAACAAGTCCAAAACTGAACTTCTGATATTTCCCACCAAACCTGCCCCTCCCCTGCAGTTTCTCCCCCTCTCTCTCAGTTGATGAAAACACCATTGTTCCAGGTTCTGGGCCAGAATTCTTGCGGTCATTCTTGCTCCTCTCCATCTGTTATATCGCCCGCCTAACACATCAGCAGATCCTGCTGTTTCTACCTTCAGTATATATCTAGAATCTAACCACCTCATACTATCTCTACTGCTACCATCCTGGGGCAAGCTACCATTTTCTCTTTGGCCTTCCTGAGAGCTAACTACCTCTCCTGAATACATTTCCTGTTTGCTAAAACTACCTAGATTTGGTTGTGTTGCTAGGATTCTGGTATGGACACTGATACTTTGAAGGGTTTCAAGCAACAAGTCCCAAGAAATGGGAATCTGTTACTGGTTATCTGGCCTGGTTGGGGTAAAGTCAATGAGAATACCATGAGTGTTATTTCAAATATTGTTATTTTTATCTTATTAATATTTTATGTTTATATTTATTTATATTATTTTATTATTATTATGGAATTATTAAAAAATATTTTCAGGTCAGGTACAGTGGCTCAAACCTGTAATCCCAGCACTTTGGGAGGCTGAGGTGAGAGGACTGCCTGAGTCCATGGGTTCGAGACAAGCCTGGGCAACACGATGAGATCTTGTCTCTTCAATAAATAAAAAAACAAAAATTAGCTGGATGTGATGGCACATGCCTGTAGTTCCAGCTTCTTGGAAGCCTGAGGCGGAAGTATCACCTGAGCCCAGCAGGTCAAGGCTGCAGTGGTTGTGAGCGAATCACTGCACTCCAGCCTGGGTAAAAGAGAATCCGACTCAAAAAAAAAAAAAAAAAAATTCCCAACTGATCTGTCTACTTTCACCCTATTTCTATAATCAATTTGCAGTATAGCAGCCATGGTGATCCTTTAAATATATGTTAGTAGAACATGTCACCTATTCAAAACTCCCAGTGGTTTTTAGTAAAAGCCAAAGTCCTTCTAAGTTTTCAAGGGCCTAACTGATCTAACCTGCCACCCATCACCTCTCTAGCCCAATCTCTCATCCTCTATCCACTTCATGCACTAGATGCCAGTATCAGTAGTATCTCTCTTCCCCCTCAAGTTGTAGCAACCAAAAATGTCTGCAGACACTGCCAAATTAAACTCATCCTTGGCTTAGACCACTGCTTTAGCCTAAGAAATAAGGACTACAGGAATCTCATTTTCTTTGTCAAATTCTATCAAAAGTAGATACCCATGCTGGGTGCGGTGGCTCATACCTGTAATCCCAGCACTTTGGGAGGTGGAGGCAAGAGGATTGCCTAAGCTCAGGGGTTTGAGACCAGCCTGAGCAACATGGTGAGACCTCGTCTCTATGATAAATCAAAAGAGATTAGCCTGGCGTGGTGGTGCACACCTATAGTTCCAGCTACTTGGAAGGCTGAGGCAGAAGGTTCACCTGAGAGAGACAGGCTTAGAGTCTACACAGCCAGGAGCACTGCTGAAACCTCAAGATAGCAATGTTCTGGTGAAGACCGCTTTGTGGTTGCTGGCCTCAAATGCCACAGCTTGCACATGTGAATGTACCTTGATACCAGGGGCCGAGGTTGTACACCACATCCTTGCTGGAAGGCAAATTTTTTGGCTTCTGCTTTGGAGAGGTGAGATTCATAAGGTGGGAAATTTCCCAAACATAGGAAAGGTGTTCAAATTGTACTAAAGCAGCCAATAAGTTGAACCATTGTATGAGGCTATTAAAAAATTTACCCAGAACATGTATTTTCCTCAACTTACTGTTTCTTTTTCTCAAGCAGTAAACACAGGAAACATACTGAATTTCTATAAATAAAAGATGACAATTTATTAAAGCTTTTAGAAGAAAGCAAACTTCATTTTCTATCATGGTGAAGGATACTGGCTTAATTCACATTGTTATTACTCTCACCAATGTTTTTTTTAATATGAACATATAAAATGTATTACAAATACAAACTATTTTCATTCCAATGGAAGAGAAAATTACAGGCTCAAAAATGAAGTTTACTATAAAAAGTTACATATAAAAGTTTCACATTTCTAAAAATCTGACAGTTAAAATATCAATAATCTTGTGTTGACTGTGATATAGTTCCATGAACCCCTGAAAACTTGTATTCTGAAGTTGAAACTTTTGCTCAGAAACAACAGATGGCAGAACAGATCTTTTCACATTCTGAGAAAATACAAAACTTAATGGTCTTTTAAAAATATTCAGTAACTGTTCTTTGTCAAAAACATGAAACACTTTAAAGTACAAAGCAAAAAGTCTTACTAAGAACAAGCGCCAATCAGCCACACCTCCTGTCTTCGGGAAATTCGTTTACCTGGAACTTTGTGGGCAGTGCAAAGAATCTCAGAGCAGACCACCTCTGCTGCACAGCGAGTATACAAGGACTTAAGCCTGGCTGATGTGGCAAGTCTGCTAGCATCCAGAAGAGAGGGACTTCCTGTATTTACATATGAAAGCATTTGTCTTTCCAAGGCTGACTCTGTAGCATTCCACGGGTACCAAAGAGCCACATGGGGACATTTTCTCCAAGCACTCCTGGTTACTGGCTTCAAATGAAGACAACACTGTCTCTGATAAGCCGGTGTTTTCTTCAGGATCCAAATGCTTCTGAATTCCAGGTGCAACTGTGTGACTGCCCTTGGAATTTAAAGGGATGTCACTCTCTTTACACTCTCTGAAGCACCGGTAGTGATCTTCGCTAAGCAACAGCACAATGGTTCCACCAACATGAAGTACTCTGCGACAAAAAATGATAATTGGTATGAATGAGTATTTCTTTTGTTTTAGACAACAAACAATTCCACTTCATTTAAAGTATTTGGCGTTTTTAATTTGAAATTTAATTTCATCTATTTAAATACAAGGATTTTTGATAATTAGGTAGTATCTTCCATAATCCATATTCATTATAGTAATTATGAAATCCCTAACACAAATCTGCTTTAATTATCTATTTTTACTCTACTTAAAAGGCAAGTCTCAAAGTAATTTGGAGTCACATTCTAATAAATGATTGCACAAAGGAAAAGGCAAATAACAGAATCCTAAAGCATCAGCATATGTTAAAGGCAAGAGGCTGGTGGCAGAAGACAGTTATCAGGAAACAGTATATGAACAACAAAACAAATGACAAGGGAAAGCTCAGAAAAAGAAGGGCAGATCCTGAAATGTCAGCTTTTTGAGGAGAGTTCATTTACTCAATTATTCAACCAATGTCTGTGTGCCCTTTATGTGGACAAAGTGATGAAGACACCTGTTCTGTGTCACGTGACACAGTCCTGTGAGTTGCTGAGAGATGACCGACAGCAGAGAGAGGCAAGTGAAGAGTGTGGTAAATGACAGCCAAGGCAGCATGAGGTGCCTGGAACACGTGGGTCCCACACCCAGGTAAGGGAGAGGGGGAAGCTTTCCCAGAGGATGATAGCGTTAAAGGACAAGCAGGAGTGAGCCGGGCAAGGCCACAGGGAAGGGCTCCAACAGGAGAGGGGGCTGGAGGCAGCAGCAGCAGCAAGGGCAGGAAGAAGGGTAGAGGCAGCACTGGGAGCCGTTCACAGGCACCGAGTCAGGAGTGGTGGGAGAAGAGAAGAGGTCAGCTTGGAAGGTGCAGATGGCCCCAAGGAACACAAGGGTGAATTCCCCCTGACAGTTACACACTCGGTCTGGAGGGAAGGAGAAACACCAGGCCTTGGGGCTGAGACACAAGTTTTCAACAGTCAGTGGCAGACACAGCCACATGGTGGATGAGAACATCTGGGATGGCAGGACAGAATAAGAAGAGGATGGGCCGAAGATCAGAGACTCCACATTTAAGGAGGGACAGAGGCGGAGGCCATGAGACAAATATCCTAAGAGAAAATGTGATCAGTAGTGATGTCATGGAAACCAAAGGAATACAGTTTCAAGAAGGAAACGGGCTCAACAGCGTCAAACACGACAGGACTAACAGGTGAGAAGTCACTAGGGAGCCTAGGGACAGCAAGCTTAGTCAAGGCAGGAGCAGAAGCTGGGCTGCAGGGTTCAGCAAGCACCTGAGCGCAAGGAAGCAGACACGTCAAGTATAGACCATTCTCTCAAGAAGTCTGGCAGTACAGGTGAGGAGACAGGGTGACAGCGAGTGGACCAAGAGTTAAAGGGAATCTGCCTCATGCCCAGCAACAATATAAGAAGTGTCTAAGCCATCAGCAAATCCAGATAATTCTGTCTCCAAACAGTATTGCATATTCACCCACTTCTTTTAAGCATTTGCCTGGACTTCAGCAGCATCTCCTGGTAGACAGGGTGTGTTTCCACTCCTGTCGCCACCCTCCCCCTCACTCACTCTTCCCAGTTTCCACACAGAAGGTAAATGTTCACCCCTGCTACCTCTCCGGTTGCTCTCACTGCACTGCAAATCCAGCCCAACCTCGTTGCTCCGGCATGCCAGGTTCCTTCATGATCTGACCCTTGTGCCCCTTTCCAACATCACTGTCTCCTTGCTTCCCCTGCACAGTGACCTGCCTTCAGCTGCTCAGACTCACCCGGCTGCTTCTTGTCTCAGGACCGCTGCTCCTGCTGCTGACTCTGCGTTTAGCACTCATTCCCTTGTGGAAGTATTCTCAACTCTCAGGCCTTCGTGGAGAGGCCTTTCCTGATGACCTCTCTATAGTACCAACTGATTTTCTCTCACTCTCTAGCAAGGTATCCTGTCTTAGTTCCTTTATTACACCAATCCTGATCTTTACATATTAACATTCTGTCTGCCCACACCAGGTGGTTAGAGACCATGCCTGTCCTATTCACGCTATGTTCTCAGGGCCTAGTGAATGCATGGAGATGCAGAGAACCCCACAGGGGAAGGGGAAGGGATCTCCTAGAAAGCACAAGGCAGGGAACAGGCCATGGTAAGAATGAGAATGGGCAGAATGCAATCCCTGAGAAGGAAGGAACTGACAGGATACACCCTGGCAGGAAGAGAGTAACGCCTTCTACTGAGAGGAGGAGATGTGGTGAGGACAACTTGGCTGTACATATATCAGGCCAGAAATAAGAAAATAGACAAACAGCTCTACACTTGCAAAAGGAAATTGCACTAGGAAGACAGAAATACCACGTCTTACTCAGCAGGTTAACAAAGATAAAAAGGCTGTCATGCTCAGGATGGCAAGATCATGAGGAAATGATCTTCCTGATCACAGAAGCTGGCATAACATTTTTGGAACAGTGATGCAGCAATAAAGGATCAAAAGTAGGAAGTGTGCATAACCTCTGACCCAGCAATCTACTTCTAGGAAATTATCCTAAGAAGATGAATATAGACATAGGAGTAAAATAATAGTGATGTAGCTAATGTTTTCTGGTACTTACTGTGTGCCAGGCACTGTTTTAAATGCTCTGTATTATATATCATGTAACCCTCAGAAATATCTTTTCAAGTTTGTCCTACTAGCGTTGTCTTTTTGCAGATGAGGCAACTGAGGCACTGCAGTTTTAAATAACTTGGTCATACAGTAAGTTTAAAAACTGTGCAAGGATGTTAAGACCGTTATATTTTATGAAAATAAAAACTTGAGAATTACCTACATATTCATCCATAAGCACTGGCTGCATAGTGGTGCATCTAGATAGTGTAATACTACGGCAACCACCGAAAATCATAATATGCATGACAACACCTCATCAGAAAGGAGATTCATGACGTAATGTAGAGTGGGGTAAAAGTATGTTACACGACATTAAATCCGGGATGATCCTGCTTATGTAAACAGAAAGCATGTATCTATTTGGTGCACATGTATTTGGCAAGACACTTCACAGGACATTCACCAAAAATTATTTCAAAGAATGGAGAAAATAAGTGAAAATCACCCGAAATCCTGCTACTCAGAGACGAACATTTTCAGAAAGTATCCTTCTAGGCACCTTTCCATGCGCATACACAATTTCTTATTAAGAAAGTTATTTGTGATTCTGTTCTTCTTTATGGCTGTATAATAGTCCACTGTATATATGTACCACATTGTGTATATGTACACATTTTCTTTATCCAGTCCTCTTTTGATGGGTAGCACAGTTAGTACCATGTTCTTGCTACTGTGAACAATGTGTGCAAGTATCTTTTTTATAGAATGACCTGAGTTCTTCTGGGTATATTCCCAGTAGGAGGACTGCGGGATCATATGGAAGGTCAATTTTTAGAAGTTTTAAGAACTGCCACACTGATTTCCACAGAGGCTGTACTAGTTTACACTCCCACCAACAGTGTAGAAGTGTTCCCTTTTTGCCACATCCTCTCCAGCATCTCTTATTTTTTGAGTGATGGCCATTCTGACTGGAGTTAGGTGCAATATGGATGAAATTAGAGCTTATAACACTGAATGATCTCTCACAGAAACAAAGAGCCGCGTATCACATGTTCTCACTCATAAGTGGACCTTGAACAACTACTGTAGGAAAGAGATTGAAAGTAGCGGGAAACTGCAGGGAGGGGGTGTGGGGAGTGGGTAGCTGGGATTGACAGTAGTTGATATTTGCCTGGGGAAGAGGGGACACATCTCATCAATAAGGGTACCTGCACAATGAACATTTGTATACCTAACCCTGAATTGTATCCCACAATTTCAAAATAAAAATTAAAAGAGAGAGAAAAAAAAGAAAGCTATTCAGAGATTATATAGCAACATTCACTAAACTGTACTCCTATGGACGCTAGTGCATCAGTGTTGAGTGATGGTGATAACATTAATCAAATCTGAGTATGTCCTGAAAATAATTCAGTAGTCAATAAGTTGGGGAAATTCCGCATCAAACAACATAAGAGATTTCTCTCTTGCACGTGCACCTGCAAAACTGAGGGTAGATGACACAAATAATCCTAAATTATTTGCCCATGGCACACAGGAAGTCTTAACCACCTACTACAAATCCTTCGCTCTAGGCAGTCTGGTGCACTCACTGTGTCTTGAACATGCTTTCTGTTGCACTATTCACTCAAGAAATATTCAGTGAACATCTGTATGTATAAAACCTGTGGTTGGTATCCTTTTCTAGTCTTTCTACACTTCCACATTTCACTGAAACCTTGCTTCTTCCCTAAAAACATCTTAAGCCTCTTTGGCACATACTGCCTTCTTCCTTCAAGTCGAGCAAGTTGAATTTTTAATTTTGTTCATGTTTGCATGGTTATATTTGAGAGGAAAGCTCAAATATTATACTTCCCTGTATTCCTCACAATGCTCTGTACCCATGAAATGGTTAATCTCTAGAGGAAACTAGAGGAAATAATTGAGCTGAGAGCATGTATGTAGTTCATGCCACCAGAGTAATCACTTGTATGACAATCTCTAATTCTGGTTGCTTGTTCTTTCTCCAAGAGTCCAGTTCTGTATTACACGAAGTACCAACGATTTCCATTGCTTGTTATGAATAGTTTTACTAACCTCTTGTATTCTTCTTATTTTCACAAACACAGTTCCCCACTGCTTCCATTTCATATCTAGGGCCTTAAACCAGTAAACCATTGGGGAAAAAGTCATGTGTACGTAATATATTTATGTATATACCCCCATCTACTTCCCTAAAGGATTCGAAGTGGTTTACACTAAAAAAATTACCTGTCTAGGCACCATTCTAAGAGCTTTAAGTACATGGACTCCTCAGAAGAATGCTAGGAAGTGGGTATTATTTAAAGACATACAACGCAGTTAAGTACCATGCCTATGATTGAAGAACTATTTCGTGATAGAGTCAAGATTGCAACCCAGGTAGTTTGGTTCCAAAGCTTGTACTTGCCACTACTGTATGCTATACTGTCAGTATAAAACTCCAAACCATGAAAAAATCAAAAGTCAGACAGAAAGGTTGGGGACAGGTGGTAAGAAGGCTTGGTTACAGGAGAAGAAAAATTTAATGAAGTGCAAAATACGTATACTCTGAACTGGTCCTACTGAGGCACGCTATGCAAGAAGTCCTGAATACTCATCTTCCTGATTTTCAGATAAGTATTTAAATTTGTTGTCACAATGTGAGGGCAGTCATATCTATTACTGTCTTATTTTCAATTACCTGGAATAAAAACCAAACCCAGCTGAGAGAAAGTCAGGCTGGTTTAATTTACTAGTGCTAAAAGGACTGTATTCTCAAAATACTGCCCTCCACTGACTTATGGAGAGGTCCACAATATGCAGCATTAGATTTTCAGTTAAAGTAAGCCATTGTCTCTGGAAATTTCCAGGTTAAAAGCAAGTCATTCATATATATTAGTATCTCACCATGAGCTGGTTAATGGCACAGATGGTGAATTACCTACTTAGGCTCAAAGGCTGTTGTTATCAACAATGGCTCCAACAGAATCACCTTGGGAGCTTCTAAGAAATTCTGATGTCCAGATCCTCTCCTAGACCAATTAAATTAGAGGCTTGGTGGGGAGGGGTGAAGAATGAGCATCAGTATTTCTTTAAAACTCCTGAAACAATTTTAGTATGAAATCAGGGTTGCCAAATCTGCTAGGGGGAAATGTGGTATCAGGCAGAAGGGAGGATAGGTGCTCAAGAAATGTCTGAATTATGGTGCTGCCCAGAAGGAGAGGTCTCAGGAAAAGGATCAAGAGTTGGGTAAATGGGTAACAGGGAAAGTTGCTCAGAAATAAGACCATCTGAGAAGTATGGAGCAGCCAGCTCACAAAATGCAGTGAGATGACTCCAAGCCGACTTACTCGAATCAAGCTTTAATTTCCTTCCAGAATGTTAGCCTTGACACTCAATTTTCTCTATCCAAAACACATGGCTCATTTTTTAAACTGGAGACACACTTTACACGGCGGGCCCTTGAAGATTTATGTTGTCCTATTCGATCAAATGCCCTGCTGGGCAATTTAATATCAACTGACCTCTTCTACTCATGCCCATTCATTTCTGTATGCATTCCAGGCTCTCTCCTTTATCAACTTACATGATCAGAAAAACATATATTCACGTCTCACTCTTTGAACCTCTCAAAGAAATACTTCCATTAAATTGTCTTCCCTTAGATCAACATTAGAAACCACAAGATGAATAATACTTCTGCATTTTCACTTCACAGTCAATAACGAAGGTGCCGTCCATTCGGTTTTACTAAATGTTCCTCATGTAACATAATTCTGTTCTGTTGTTTAGTAGCTGTGTGATTATGAGAAAATTTATCTTTCTGGGCTCTAGTGTCTCATCTGTTAAAGTAGGGATTAACACAAAGGAGGTGGGTTTTTTGTGAAGGACAGAAACAAATGCGTACATTTTTGCTTCAGCCCAGAGGCTGAAATATAGGTCACTATTTCATATATTCAAATTTCAGGCAATAAGACAAAATAAAATTTACAGTGTAAGATGTATGAGATAACATTTCAAGTATAAACTTCTGACTTGAAATGTTAGAATATTAAGCTACAAAAACTCTGGGAAACTACTACAGTGCAATCAGTCCTTAACTGTAGAGCTGTGACATATTTTGGTTAGATGTCCAATGGCTAAAAAATTATGAAAATAAACTCAACAACTTACCTTTCCATTTCTTGTAATATGCTTTTGATGTCTTTTCTTAACTTAAACTTTTTCCCAAATGGAATGTCAGAAATAATAATATCGACACTTTCTGATGGTAACGGCAATTCTGAAAAACAGAAATCAGAGATCTATTACAGTGAGGTCAAATATTTACAACCTACATAATGAGAAAACAGAAGTACACAGGATACTTTTGATTAAATAAAATTTAGGGTTGCTAATATTGTTTCTAAGTAATTACAAGATCCCGAAATGCTTTCAGAATCACAAATAATAACCAGTAGAGTTATTGTACTCTGTTCTTTGGTTTTTAAGGTATGAAAAAATATGACTTAAATTATTTTAAATCAGAAAACTCAATTCTCTCAACATCTCACATGCATAGAAAGTTGCCAGATCCAAGAAGAAATATACTAAGTTGTCCAGAAAAACCTTTTACAAAATTATATTCAACAATTTTCATTTCCCTTTTTCAAGTTATATGCTTAGATCTATTTGTTTTTGAGAAAACCTGCTATCATGGTATTTTAAAGGGAGCTCAAAACGATAAAAATATCTACTTAAGTCCTAAGAAAGAGCTACACAATCAATAATTGACACAATAAATGTCCCACTAGAAGTTAAATATAGTATCTGATTATGAAATTTAAATTGCCTTATAATCTCACTCCTTCTAATTCATCAAAAGTAAGACTACGTCAGGGTGGGCCTCCTTCCTACCAACCTTCTCACCAGCAGTGGCTCTCAAAGTGTGGATCCCAGGCCAGCAGCACCAGTGACACCTGGAAACCACAATTTCATGTGCCTTTGAAGCAACTGAAGGGCTTTTGTAAAATACCATCTGTTGGCCACACCTCCAGAGTTTCTGATGTAGACACTCCTAAAACCACAAGTACCTGACACATAAGGGCCAACATACAGTACAAATGATTTTAAACTATGAAATGCTTTGAACTGCCAGCAAACAAAGTTTGCTTGTAGCTAATGAGCTGAGATTCTGAAATAGAAACACTGCTCAAAACGAACAAGTAAAAAGCATCTTTTTTATATCTCTGCAGGCTGATTCAACAACATGAAAAAAATTAGTTTTAAAATATTGGTTGCTTTGAACAAAAGAATTGCCCTATTTTTCCTCCTTTCAGATGAAAAAATGGGTAAAAATTGCTTAGAACTCAGGATTATGGCTGCAAGATATTTTCTTCCAATATAACTTTTTTATGCATATGTTTAAGTAAAAGATTAGGTTGATTGAGAACTTGTATAAATTTGAGCACATCCTTCTTACTATTTTCTTTCCTTGTACTTTCTGCTGTTTATTCTTTTTATTGTCCAAGTTTATGATATACATGTTCTGTCCTCTAAAATAATTCCCATGGTTATTTAAAATTAGTTCTATATTTAAATCAATTCAACCCTTATCATCAATCATTTTGCCTTGGCTTTCTCCATCCCTCAGTTGTTTCATCTCTTAAATGTTTGGATTTTGTTAAATACTTTTTTCCCAAAAGAGTTGTTAGTGAAATGCTGCCTGAACTTTTTCACATTTGAAAATGTTTGTACTAAAATGATGTTTTGGTTAGGCATATTTTTGGGTCACACTTTGCTTCATTCCATTCCATTCTAGATACACATTTACACATTTATCCAATTAAAATTGCTTCAGTGACTTTGTAAATAGGATCTCAGAACCTTGTAAACAACCACTGTTTCATTGCCAGTTGCTCTACGATATTCTGTTTCTTTCCACTATGGCCAAAATACATTTTAAAGTTCACAGGATCAGATTTGATCCTTCCTTGTTTGGTTGTTAATTTTTTTTTTACTTCTATGCTTACTATTCTTTTTCTCAGTTCAAAAAGTATAAGAGGATATAAATCTTTCAATGAGATTTAAACCCACCATCTTAATCCAGAAGTTCATAATAATTAGTTTTAAACATGCAAAATGTAGTCTGGAACATGGACTGGGTCACCATATAATTTATAGCCCAAAGAACATTCTGAGGACAAGAATGCTAGAAATAACTATTACTATGTACCTCTGAGATACTTACTATCTAAGAAATTAGTTTATTATGGTAGATCTAAAAATAACATCTGTTGTGCCGGGCTCGGTGGCTCAGCCTGTAATCCTGCGCCTTTGGGAGGCTGAGGTGAGTGAATTGCCTGAGCCCGTGGGTTTGAGACCCGCCTGGGCAGCGAGACCTCATCTCTACAATAAATTAAAAAATCAGCCAGGCGTGGTAGCGCATGCCTGTAATTCCGGCTACTGGGAAGGCTAAGGCGGAAGGATCGCCGGAGCCCAGCGGGCCGAGGTTGCGGTGGCCGGGAGCGGCCACTGCACTCCAGTCTGGGCGACAGAGTGAGACTCCAACTCAAAAAAAAAAAATAATAATAACATCTGTGCATACTAAAATTTTTCTTAAAAAAAAAAAAACCCCAAATATTTTAACATTAAAACAAGTAAAATAATTATTTGTAGTACATAGTCATATACTGATTAGTTTCTTAGACATATTAGTCTCTAATCTCATGTCATTAGTGGCATTTTTCAGAATAATAGTATTTTTTAATACAGACTTTTAATTTTTCACAAAACTGCTTGCATTCTTCTACAAAGTTTTATTGTCAGGTTTAATAAATTTCCCTTAGACTGCAAAATTTTTATTTGAGAAAATATTTTCTCCATAGTGCTATCCACAGAGCTTAGAACAAATTCTGGTAAATGGAGGTCACTCTCAATTCTCTCTCTTTCATATGGAAAGTGTAAATATTTCAGCCCTCCAGTTCATAGTCCTTCCATTCTGAGTGGCTCTGACAACCATGTTCAAAAAATAAAACTAAAATAAGTTGTCTCTACAATTCTTTTAATTCTTTTCCCAAATTTAAGGGTTTCTCAATTTCATCCCCTTGCTACAGATTACACATTTACCAATTAAAACAAAGAAAGTAATGAGAATATTCCCATAAGATATCCAAAGTATACTGACAGAATTTCAGAATTGAATCTTGTGCGTTACTGAGCTTGCAATAATTTGTTCATTTCTTCCCTCATATTTTTAGGGAAAGACATCAGAGTCTTGCTGTTGCCAGCTTTATTTCTAATAACCACAATTCACCATAAAATTCAAAAGCTAAGGATTTTTGGCAGCACTCCATTTGTTAAATCATTTGATTATGGATTTCTAAGATATTTTGAATAAAATGCAACCCAAAATAGACCTTTTTTCTTTTTTTTTTTAAGTGTATAACACCACTGTGGGATACTATGGCTGATTTACGATGTAGTTCTTCGAAGGCTTAGACTTTTAAACCCAATTGATGGGTAAACATAGAGGGCAAATGTACTGAAATATTTTTTTGCACTAAACCATCTTCATCATAAACAGTTTACTGTTCAGTTACTCTGTGTGTATGTTTAAAAATAAAAGTGTTGATTATTTTGACAACTTAAGTTTCTAATACAACTGACAGAATATTGCAGCCTTATGGAGGTAATTAGGAATTATATGGGTACCTCATTAAATTCCAAGTACATTTCTTCTCATAGGTTTTAGTGAGAAGATTAATTTTTGTTGTGATGCTGTGGTGCACCAAATCAATACATAAGCCAACAGATGTGCAATGCTGAACTGAGTTTTTAACAGCATTCACAAAAAGTTTCATCTTTGATGGGGGAAAAAAAAACCAACTCCTAAATTTCCAAGAATTGAGTGTGGTATGAGGGATCTGGGGGGAACAACAGCAAAAGCCCAAATTTTCATAATGAGTAAAACTTAGGAATAAACATACAAAATTTCTTCATCATAAATGGCCATCTCTTTTTATACCAGTAGGTTATAAATCAAAATGAATATTACTAAAAAGGTAGAAATATAAAGTCATTAAAGTACACAAAAAGACTGAAGATCATGATTTTGCAGTCACATAAATCGTGACGAGAGAGTTACTAACTTGCTAGATGTAGCCATGTTTATGGATGTCTTTAATTCATGCTGTGTGTTAGGCACTATACTCTGTGTGTTTATGTAATAAATCCTTCCCACAGCCTTATGAAGTAGGTATTATCATCTTTGTGTTATAGATAAGAAATGCAGAGAGGTCCATTTTTTTTTTTTTTTTTTTTTGCCAAAGGCCATATGGTGAAGAGATGATGGTGGAGCCAGGATTTATACTCGATCTGACTCCAAAGCCCATGAGTGCTCTTAACTAATAATATAATCAAAAGGTGTGAAAGCCTCAAGTCTGTTAGTGTCAAACAGTGGATTCATGGGTCTCAACATTCTAATTTGTATTTATAATTAGAGTTCCTAAGGGTAAAACCAACTTAATAATAAAAAATGCTTTTATCTAGCTAGAATGCTTACCTATAAGTAGGAGCAACAAAGGTTAATTATTAAATAGTTCATATTGGCCCCTATGTTAGCAAGACATAATATTCCTCCTAGATTGAAACTTAATATTAAAAGGTTGTGATGATGAAACAGCCTAAAATAGATGTTTTATTCTTTCTTCCAGAAAGTTATCCTAAAAAATAATATTCACAAAATAATAATCTATAAATGTCATAATATGAAAAACATTTTATCTTGGTAGTTCAAGAAAGATAAATTTCTTTCTGTCAAATTTTAAAGAGTTTTAAAAAGTGTAATTCAAATAATATCCAGTACCAAGAGAGGTTTAGGGCAATGTGAGCTACCATCTGCCGCTGGCTTGGTGTAACCTGCTCTGACTCCTGTTCTCCTGCTGTGTTCCCAGGAGAGTATAGTCCACCACTTGTAACTGGACCTTACCCTTTCTCAGGAGCCTCGCATGTAGCAAATGAGCCATTCTCCTCTCCTTCCTGCATCAAGGCAAGTTCCTCCTCTTCATCTGATCATTCTCATTAGTATGAGCAGACATTTGTATTTTTAAAATTCTAATTTCTATATTCAAAAAAATCCCTGCTTGATCTCTGATATCCCTTTTAGCTACTGCCCCATTTTTCTGCTCCCCCTCCCGGCCAAACTGCTCAAGAGAATGCTCTATACCAGCTGTCTGGAAGTTATTTCCCCCATTATCTAAAGAGCCCACTCCAGCAAAATAGACCCTGACATCTGCAATCACCAGGCCTCATTTTACTTCAGTGGACAGCCACTGACCCAGCTTGTCACTCTTTTTTATTCTCTTATGTCACAGGCTGTTCCTTTATTAGAAGCTCACCTTCCAGAACTCTAAGCATCTGAGTGCTATTGGGCTCAGTCTTCTTTCCCTTCTTTATTAACACTCATTCATTCTTGAGGAGCTCTCATGGGTTTAAATGTTATCTATGCTAGTGATGTCAATTATTCCCTTAAACTCCAGATTTGAGTATTGAGTTACGAACTTGACATTTTCTTCATTTGATGTTTAATAATCATGTGAAATTTACCAGGTCCAAAACTTTAACTTTCCCATCTCAGTAAATAACAACTCTGTACTCTAGTTGTTCAAGCCAGAAAGCCTGGAGTTTTTCTTGTTCTTTCTCTCACACTCCATACACATCCAACCCAACAACAAACCATATTGGCCATGTCTTCAAAGATATATGTCTGAACTCCTCTCAACAACTCCATGAATATCACTTTGGGCCAGACCATCATCATTTCTTACCTGAATTATAACTACAGTTGCAATAGTCTCCCAACGAATCTTTGTTTCCATACTTCCCTCTCTACAGTCTAAGAGTGAGCCTACCAAAAACTAAGATTTATTTGGTTACCTGGTGCCACAGAGAACCTCTGTTTTTAAAAAAACAAAAAACTGTGGAGAACTTTTGCTTATTTTTCTGAAGGGAAATCTTACCAAAAAAGCCCATAAAATGAAAGCAGATAAAAGTTAAGCTGGGAATGCAACAGAGGTCTGATGGCCAAGTCAGTACTCCCTCACTAATGCCTACAAAGCATTTTGGAGAATGTAAAGGGACTGAAAACCCACAGCTCTGAAATCATTTGTGAAGGAATTTCAGTTTTCTTAAAGATCTCAAAGAAATTAGGTCTTAAAGAAATTTATGAAAAAGCTTGACTGCAGTATAATCATCCCTTGGTTTGCTGTAGAAACAGTTCTATTAAAAATCTTCACGGAAAAGCTATAAAAAATAGTCACTGACAGCTAACAACTATGAGATCTCAATTAGCAACACAAATTCTTCTTTGGAATTGCTTTGTTATGCTTTTACACAAAAGTTTTTCTAGTATTTCTTCTGTTGATATTCATTTTCACTACTTTTCCACTATAACAATAATTTTTAAACAGTATTTTGTCCCTCCTGATTATAGGGTTGATACTGGGTCCTACCAACTACCTATTCACTGCCAAGAGAATGTGATGATTTTTTAAAAGAGAGAGATATACTAGGGAAATGGGAAAAAACAAAAACAAAAAAACCCCAAGAAATATGAAACTCCTCTGAACTAGTAAATGCTATGGATTTCAGGAAAATATTATTATTATTATTATTATTATTTGAGTTGGAGTCTCACTCTGTCACCCAGACTGGAGTGCAGTGGCTGCTCCCGGCCACTGCAGTCTCGAACTGCTGGGCTCTGGTGATCCTTCCACCTCAGCCTTCCAAGTAGCCGGAATTACAGGAATGCGCTACCACGCCCAGCTGATTTTTTGATTTATCGTAGAGATGAGGTCTCGCTGCCCAGGTGGGTCTCGAACCTGCAGGCTCAGGCAATCCACTTACCTCAGCCTCCCAAAGGCGCAGGATTACAGGCTGAGCCACCGAACCCGGCTAAGAAAATATTATTTTGATGGGACCCAGTAGACTTGATTTCTAGGCATGTTTGTCGCTGATGACTCTCCTTCACTAAAGGTGGGTCATGTTTTCACTGCCTCACAGAGGGATCAGCAGTCACAGTTTGCCACAGACCTTCCTGGTTTTAGCACTGAAAGTACTGGGTTAGCAAACTGGGATGGGTGGTTATCTTACTTCTGTATTTCTATGAGATACTGTCCAATGTGAGGCAAGAAGAAGGTAAGATAATTCACAACAATTCCTATAGTTTATCTGAAAGAATTTTTATTATTATACCACTCTCTTTATTTTATTCCTATATTAATTACTGGTTATGGTAGGAGAAATGGTTCAGATGCAACAAACACATCTTTTAAAAATGTATTTCAATTCCTTTGGGAGATACATATAGTTTTTGGTCTGGGCTTTAAGAGTTCCCACCTCTGCTACCTGTGCACATTGTATCCAACAGGTAGTTTTTTTTTTTGTTTCTCCACCCTTTCCTCCCTCCCCCTTCTGAGTCTAGTGTCCACTATGTCTTGCAATAATCACATCTTAAAAGGCATATTTTTACTTAACATGTTATGAAAACTATATAATTGTTGCTTCCCAATTATTTAACTTTTGAAAATAAAATAATTGCAATATTGGAAATAAGCTAAGTATCAGCTAAGTATCTGACAGGGTAAAATACAACTTTACCTATGTAAAATGCGTCTTGTCTTATATTACAATTCTAAATATATTTGCGTATGTTCATTTTCTCAAATTTTTGTATTTTTAGTATCTTACCTATAACAGAGACCTTAAGTAGCTCAATTTTATCTTTAAGGCCTGCAGCTTTTAGATTGTCACATGCACCCAGCAACTGTGAGTCGCTGACATCAGCACCCACATAATACACATCCTGTGGGAAAGAAGTTCATATTTAAGTACAAATGAAACTGTTATGTATGTTATGTAGTTAAAAAAATCTATTTATACTTTCCCAAATGATAAAAGTGAAATTCAAAGATTTTTAAAGTCAAGTTAAACAAGTTTAAAGTCTTCTTTTAAGATGATACTTGATAGCAAAAATGAAAAGTTTTTATTAAAAAATAATCTGCTAATATTTTACAATTACAAATGTCTAAAGAATTTGGGGATTAGTTTACTCTAGGCCATGACTACTGAAATTGTGACATATTTTCCTAAATTTATCACAATATTTAAAGAATAGCATAGCAATTTAATTAATCCTTCGTAATCTATTTTAACTATAGTGAATAATAATAACTCATATAATTAAAAATAATAATCCCCACATAGCCAATCTACTTATAAATAATTGGTGACTAAACATACAAACATGCTGATTACAGTAAGTACACTGCTTGGCTTATCAAACTTTAGAACTTACTGGCCATTCTTTAGCAGCTTCCAGAAGTATTGTTCCAAGTCCACACATTGGATCTAGAACAATTGCACCAGCCTACAGATAGAAACATGAATTTGATATTATTAAGCCCATCATAGCAGGTGTTATAAAAGAAATCTAAAACTTGGGGAATCAATACTTCAAAAGATTCCTTTTATACTTCATTAGGAATTTCAAGGAGTAAAAGTTATAAGGTAGGATTGTGCTCGGCACGTTTAAAGACCTTGGCCAAAGACCAATGAGTGAAGGGAAAAGGTGATAACAGCCCTAGAGAGGGAGCCAGGGGATTCTTTCAGGATGGGTTGGGCTATGCTGCATGTCCTAGCAAATCCTGGATCTGAGAGGTTTAAAACAACATGTAGCCATGCTGCGTGCCCACAGTAGGGAACCTGGGGCCTCTCGCCTCACCTTGAAACCCACAGATGAAGCAATCACCATCTGCAATGCTGCCATCACTGTGGCAGAGGGAAGAAAGCATGACAAATTGTGCATTGGATCAGAAAGATGCCACCTGGAAGTGACACACATCACCTGCACCAGTATTTAACTGGCTCAAGCATGTTAGTTCACATGGCACACACAGTGCCAAGGGGCCAGGAAAGTGTAATCCTACCTACACCTGGGAGGAGAACAGGAAATTTGGAGGAAAACTCCTTACTCCCACTCTGGGAATCACATCATGTCAGATCTTGTAGGCACTATAAAGATTCTGGTTCTATTCTGAAGGATGAGAAACTACTGTAGGGTTTGAGTACAGGAGTCAAATGACATTACATTTCATAGGGATTATTCTGACTGCTCTGTGGAAAAAAGATCAGAGTAAAAGTTAAGGTTAGTTAGAGTGCCCATGCAAGTGATGATGGTAGTTTAATTTAGAGTGTTACCGGTGTTAGTGATGGAAATGGCTGGATTCTGGATCTATTTTAAAAGGTAGAGCCAAAAGGATGGATTAGATATAGAATATTAAGAAAAAACAACAGTCTGGAGTGCCTAAAGTTCTTGACCTGAGCAACCAGAAGACAGGAGTTTCCTGCTACAGAGATGGGGAGCAGAAGTTTTGGAGAAGACAAGAGTTCTGGATGGGATAAACTTGAGAGACCTCTAAGACCTCCAAGTATGGATGTCCAATGAGTCACTGGACTAGCAGTATAGAGTTCAGGCTACAGATATTAATTTGACAGTCAGCGGCAGTCAGTATATAAATGGTATTTAAAGTATTAAAACTGGCTGGGCTCGGTGGCTTAGCCTGTAATCCCAGCACTTTGGGAGGCTGAGGCGAGATGATTACCTGAGCCCATGGGTTTGAGACCTACCTGAGCAACTTGGTGAGACCTCATCTCTACAATAAATCAAAAATTAGCTGGGCGTGGTAGTGTGAACCTGTAGTTCTGGCTACTTGGAAGGCTGAGGTGGAAGGATCGCAGGAGCCCAGCAGATCGAGGCTATGGTGGCCAGGAGCATGCCACTGGCCCCAGCCTGGGTGACAGAGTGAGACTCCAACTCAAAAAAAAAAAATCAGAACTAGACATGATCATCCAGGAAACAAGAGAAGTTAAAAAAGAGAAGTCTATGGATTGGGCTCAGTGATCTCCTAAGTACAGATGTTTGGAAAGCAGAGGTCCAGCCACACATACAGAGAAGTAGCACACACCAACTTAGAAGGAGAACTCAGAGTGGGGATCTTGAAACAAAGTGAAAAAACTGTTTCAAGAAGAGTGACTCCAGTGCCAAAGTGCTAACAGGGTGAGTGACATGAGCAGTGTCAGGGGAGTGTTGGTGATGAAGCCTCATCGAAGTAGGTACAAGAGAGAATGGAAAGAAAGAAAAATAGACGGCAAACACAGACAATTATTTTAAAGAGGTTTTCTGTAAAGGGAAGCGGACAAAGGAATGGTAGTGAAGGGACATGTGGGTTCGGGGGAGGGTTTTTATTTTTTTAAGTTGGAAGATACTTCAGCAGGTGTCCACGCTGGTGGGAATGATGCAGGAGGAAAGTCCCTAAGAACGCAATAGGGAATGGATTCCAGTACACAAGTACTAGAGCAGAATGAGAACAGGCTGCTTGCAACAATGTGAAGGCAGATGTATAGGCTGGGCGCAGATTCCCATATGTTGGTACCTTTGATGAGGAAAAGAACTCAAGTTCTCTACTGACTGTAACATTTAAGTCAAATAATAAGCAAAAGAGTTTAAAGTAGGGCAGGGAAATGACTATAATGATTGAACACAGAATCCAAGCTGTGAGAGAGAAGTGGACAGGTGGCAAGTAAGGAACAGTGGTCGGGTCAAGTGACTGGAAGGGCCTGAGGGTTGAAGACTGGTGTTAGGGCACTAGAGGAAGCCAGTAGGAAGGAGAGGTAGTTAGGAACAAGATTCTGGAAACAGGTTTGTGGAAGGGATACCCTTTCGGGTATAAGATCTAGAATGTGACCAAGGCAGATCATGAGGGTAGGGAAGCCAAGAAACTACAAGGCATGTTATTGAGTGGTTATGGAGGTCCGAAAGAATTATGACAGGAAAAATGGCCTGCTTCAAAGGTACTGAGAGGTTCTGGGAAGGAGGGAGGAACAACTGTTCAGAAGGTGCAATGAGGAGCAAGCAGGACACCTACCCCTACTGCAGGCCCAGCGGAACTTGAGAACTTGATGGCAGACATACCATCACTCAGTGTGTCTACAGAGGAAGCAGAGTCCTCAGGGGACAGCAGGTTTCAGTCAGGGTCACAGGGTACCTGATGGAAAGAAGCAAAATGTTCTCAGGAGAGACACTGTCCCTGGCACTAAATTCTAGGGAAAATGTCCTATAATCCCCCATGAAAGGGCAGTGAATAACAAAAGGAATAATAATTTAAATGGTATTTTGTTTAAAACTAATAATGGCATGAGAATTAATTTTGATGAGGATCTCAAAATGTGCCATATGCTGTACTCTCCTCCATGGTCCATGGTCAGCGACATCACCTAACCTAAATAGCTTAACAGATATCTCAGGACCTTTTCTAGCCATGATACTTGTGGACACAGACCGAAGTATTTCTGTCTATTTGTAACAACAACTAAGCTTTACAGAACTCGACTTTCCTTATTTATGATATGTAGGAAGGAGAACTTACAGTGAACATGAATGTGTCCAACATCCCCATCTTTAAATTTCGTTTTGAGTGTGTTGACCTCCCCAGGGCCGAGCTGTCTATGCACTGCTCTGAGTGCTGAGTTCCAGGAGGGACCTAGCCAGGGTGGACACCAGTGGATCCTCACACTGCAGGTTATCTCTCACATTTAGAGAGACATTACTTACTCTTGATATTAGCAGGGCAAACTCATGATAAGGAAACATTTTATGGAGCACTACTTTTGGATATTTTTGATCATTTAATTTTGACTTTTCTGAAAATCGTTTATATCAAGACAAAGGTAACATTTCAAATTTGTAGGTGGTTATGCAAATTTAAATTTAAATATGAACTGTGGTGAAACCACTGGCATTTTGGAAAAAGATTAACTAACTATAACTATACCTTTCTATTCATATACTAAAAAAAAAAAAAAACACAAAACCTGAATTAAAGATTTAAGCCAAATAAATAAAAATAATCCTGGGTTCTGGGTGCCCGGTAACCTGAAAGTCACTCCCTTCACTACTCCCCTCTGAGCTAAGTGGCACTCATATCCAGAGACGACAGGTGCTAAAAGAAGCCCTGGGCTCTGCCATAGTCCCAGAAAAAGGGTAGTAAAGGGTCTCTTTGCCATGAGGTAGGTGATTAGAGAAGAGCACTGGAGCCCAGAAGGGAGAACCAGGGAATCAGTAAGCCTGGTCTTCAGAGATCCATGGACTTGCAGGGAGACCAGTGCAAAGAAAGGCTTCCTCCAGGAGCCTGAGCAGGGCTGATAGATACTCCCTGCATTGCCGAGCCCAGGGGTGCCAGAGATCCACCTGCCATTTACCACCTACAGGATTCTGGCCATTTATAATACTTCAGTAACCATACTTTAGTCCCATCAGGCAACCACAACAAAGTAATGGCACATCTAAGGGGATGGGGGCTCCTCAGTAGCTAGAAAGTAAACAGATGAAATAATCAGAACACAAACCTACTGAAACAGGACTAACAATGGAGAAGACATACTATGTCTGAATAAAAGAAGACCTTTCAGAGATATTTGTATGTAACACATACACATTTCTAAAGCTAAAAAAATAAGATTTTTACACTAAATATATCAGTAAATGAATTAAAACAGAGCATACCCTTGAGACTCTTGTTGTAACTTAGAAGATAGTGTTCAAGAAGAACTAAAAATGCAGAACCAATATATATAGAGATGGAAACCATATGAAAAAGGATAAGAGACTTGGAGGATACAGTCAGGAAGCTTAACATGTTTATTTTTACTTTGGTTTTCTTAATTTTTAATTTTAAAGATGTGAGGTACAATCAGGATTAGATATACAAGTGGTCATCATACGTGTAAAGTTTGGGCCTCACTTTGGTCCCCACTTTGCCTGGTTTAAGATCAGATCCCTTATTGATGTTGTGTCCTTCCCATCCCACAACCCCCACCCATGTAGTATCCTGCTACTGCCAATCCCTTTCTTAAAGTATTATGGTAATTTTTTCAGCTTAACATGCTTATAACAGGAATTTCAGCAGTAGAAAAAAGAATGACGTTTAAAGTTAAATCTGCTGAACAGTTGAGGCATTAATAAATAATGGAAGAAAGAGTGTCTGAGCTGAAGAAATAATAATTTTTATAATTATATATTCCAAATTATAATTATTATAACATCAATTATTATTACCATAAAGGCAGCTAATACTTAGACATATAATACTTTCTATGTGCCAGGTACTGTTCTCATCACTTTATTAATGCTAATTCATTTAATCCTGTCATGATACTATGAGACATTATTACTATTTCCATCTTGGAAATGACAAACCAAGGCACAGAGATGTTAAGTATCTTGCCCAAAGCTTCTTAGCCAATAAGTGGTGGAGCCAGAATAGAACCAGGTAGTCAGACTCAACATGCTCTGGGCCGAATAGAAAAGACAAAAGCATTTTCTGGTAATACTCCTGAACTTTAAGATTAAAGAGAAAAATCTTATAGGCTTCCAAGCAGAAAGATTAAGGTAGCTATACAGGAAAAGAAAACGCCCCCTGGCATGGCCTGCTCATCTTTAATACCGGAAACTGATAGACATGGAAGAGCATCTGCAGACTTCAAAGAGAAAAGACCTGCGACTCAGGAATCCCACAGCCAGTCAAGACCCGATGACCCAGGACAAAAAGAAAAGACCTGAAGAGGAAATGGAATTCAGACAGCATACTATTCAAATACACTTAAGGAAAATACTTGAACAAGACTTTAACTAAGCAAAAGTAAACCAGAGCAGAGGCTGCCAATGGATAGATAAATAAAGAGAAGAATAAAACTGGCAAGCAGGGAACACCTTGCAATATATCTTTGTGTGTGCATGCACAAATGTGTGTGCAGTACACATAAGTCTGTCTAATGATTAAGGTTAGGCCATGTAATGTAAGTGCTAACCAAGAACTTTTGAAACAGAAGGGGAATTTCCAATATATAATAAATAATTTAGTTCAATCTAATAGTTGGAAGTTAGGTGAGAAAGGGATTGAAATGTTTCAAAGGTCTCATTGTAGGGAAGAATAAAGGCGGGAGAAGAGAAAAAAGTACTCTAAAGGTCTTATGACAAGGAAAAGGGAGAAGCTGGGGAAAATCAGAGTCTTTAGTGGTAAAAACAGGCATATCTCAGCAGAGGAAAGACGATGTTCTGTTTTAAAGTAAGAGTAGAGTCATATGTGTTTAATTAAAACACCTGGGAAAACGAATTCAATGGAATAGTACAATAAAGTAAAATCTCCAACCCCAGGGAGAATGAAATAATTCACAAGTAACTTGATCAAACTAGCAAAAATAAGAGAAGTAAACAGTGTATGAAGCCATGAATAGGATGAAAATAGAAGGAATACAATCAAATGTATCTGTCATAACACTGACTGAATTATCTCAATGAAAGACATAGACCATAAGAATGGGATAATAAAAGTTATGTGTTTGTGAAAAAATATTTGAAGCTGAAAACAAAGCAGTGGCAAAGAAATATTAGGCAAATGCAAGAAAAGGAAAAGAGTGAAAATATTAATAAGATGATAACATGTAAGTTTAAACTCATTAATCAAGATAAAGACTTATGTAACAATAAAAAGGCACAATTCACAATGATGTAATAAAAGTCATACATATATATATCAAACCTCATAGTAGTTGAAAAATTCAATAAAAATGTAAAAACTTAAAAAACACAATAACAGAGATTTAAAAATACTCTTTCAGAATGGAGCAGATAGTAACACAGTTAAGTAAAAATAACAGAAAACATTTTCGCCAGAAAATAATTTTTTTTCTGTTTTTTTTTTGAGTTAGGGTCTCGCTCTGTTACTCAGGCTGGAATGCAGTGGCACAATCACAGCTCTCTGGGCTCAAGCAATCCTCCCATGTCAGCCTCCCAAATAGCTGGGACTAAAGACACATATCACCGTGTCCAGTATTTATTTATTTTTTGAGAAAACAGAATTTATTGAGAAAACAGAAAAGTTACCACAGTGGGAGGGGACCCGAAGGGGTTACCCATTTTTTGGGGGGGGGGAAGGGCTAGAGATGAGGACTTGCTATCTTGCCCAGGATGGTCTCAAACTCCTGGCCTCAAGCAATCCTCCTACGTTGGCCTCCCAAAGTTCTGGCATTACAAGTGTGAGCCACTGTACCCGGACCTAAAATAAAATTTTCTTATGTACACAGAACTTTTATAAAAACTGACCAAGATCTTGGTCACAGAGAAAAACTTAAATCTTAAGAAGTGGAGGTTTTACAGGCCACATTTTCTGATTGTGACACACAAAAAAATCAGAAATAGTAACATGTTGCTAACTTTCGACTCAGCTTTTTCACAGCCAAAAAACTCTCAGAAGTTCAACAGTATATTAAAAAACCACTGCTGCAGCTTGTAAGTGTAATGGCAAAAACCATTAAAAAAAAAGATAAAAAGCAAGTAATCAAAACTTTCCTTTAATAAGAGACTGTGAAAGTTGTTATGGAAAGAACCAAGAATGAAACATTTCCGTACCCTGATTTCAGCAAGAGATGCCATTGCCCATGCTATGGTGGACCGCAGGCCGGCTGTCTTGATGTAAGCTCTGCTGGCTAAAGGAACTCTACAAAGAAAAGAACCTGATTAGAACAGCATACAAATATTACTACACATTAAAGAACTGGAAACAAACAAAAATAACCTGTCCATATCTGAGAATCATTTTAACACATTCATCCATCATACACTAATGTATTCCTTAAGTTAGAAAATATTTTTAACCTTCTGACAAGACTGTCTTCTCTAACCATAAAGGCTATCCACAGATTGAAATCAGGGACATAAAGCTCTCTAATATGAGCTATGTCTAAATTCTAAAAATTTAATCACATATGAGGGAAAACTTTCTTGCACTTCACTGTCTTCCCACATGAAATAGACCTTTTCTTGCTACATGGAATCATGAAGAGAAATAAACTGTTTTGTAATACGGATGTGGTATGGAAAGTAGGGCTGAATAGATGCTAACCCTTGAAACACGTTTTCTATAAAAAGTCCCTTTTGTAAGTTTGCTCTTTGCTCATTTGCATCTTTCTCAAAAGATGAAATGAAGCATGACATTGCATTGTCTAAAATAATTTACTGAACGAAGGACTGAAGCGGCTATCTCCTGAAAGTCACTGCTCTCCATCACCACTTCATGTTTTAGCCTCCCCCTCCTCCTCCTCATTGCTACTATAAGTGTTTCCAGATTTGACAGAAATGTTCAAAATATCACGTATCATTTCTACCTTTCTAATGCAATGAACAAGTAGCATCTCCTTGGAAATTTTAATGTGCCACCATTTGTAAGTAAGATATGAAGACATGGTTTCAAGAATTTGTGCTGGTTTGTTTTCAGGTAGCCTTGCTCCAAAACCACCAAGAAGGTTCTTCTATGAACATGACATAAAGCCACAGTGTTCTCCAAATCCTTCTTAAAAACTTTCAGCAGAATTCCATACATGAATATTAAATATCTATTTCTTTCATCATTTGTTTTTCATCTTTCTCTGACTTTAAGTTATTGTTTTTATATTTATTGCAAGCCTCTTAAAAGCTCAGAACAAGATGGTATATCCCTTTCAAATAAAACCATATAATTGTACCCTTACTGTTATAATGAGGAAGTTGTGCAAGGTAAATCCATAGGAGTTTGGCTTTTTAATAAAACTTTCCCAAGAAATAACAATTCACATTGTAAAGAGTACTGTATCCATACATTTGGAATCAGGGATGTAAACTGGCAGGTGGAAAGATATAAAATATTTTGGCCAATGAATCTGCTTCTATAAGGTAAACTCGGTGATTATCTTGCTACAAAACACATTAGTTTGCATTCTAGATACCAAAAAATATAGATGTGGTATGGAAAACTGTCTTTGCCCATATATGTGAAACCTTTTAACGTTTCAACAATTAGGTATATACTTTTACTAATAGAAGTTTTATTTCATGGAAGACAATTCTTATTGATGTGACAAAAATGAATGTTCTTATTTTACTTAAACCTGGAAAAAATTGATCCCATTACTCGACAAAAGGGCTCTATTATATCAGTATTATAACATTATTCAGGGAAAAGCAGTGTTCAGAAATAAACTCCTTGAAAATAAAAATACTGCTGTAGTTTCACAGACTCTGGCTAATGTTTTAAGTCACATCTGAGCAGGCTTTTATGTAGTACAAAACAGATGTGGTTTCTGATCCTCTTTTCACCATACATCCATTTCTTCCTTATTCCCTTCCACACCATTTATTGGCAAGACAGAGACATCCTAATTTATACCTGTAGCCTAGAATTGTCACCTGTACCTCAGCTCTTTATCTTCAAGTATGTGCTTGGACATTTTTATTTAGAAGATAAGTAGTGTAAAGTCAACAGGTGAACACAATCTCCTTTCTCTGGATTTCGTATCTCAAAAGCACTCTTCATATTCTTACACCACTCATCGTCCTTGTATTGGGTACCACAATCTACATCTTCGGCCTAGACATGTCACCTAAGCTCCAGATGTGACATTTTTCACTGAACACAGTTTTCCTACATTTTGTATTTCAGTGACTAACACCAGCTATCTAGTTGTACAAATCAGAAATCTGGAAGTTATTCTAGATTCCTTAACTTTTTGTTTGAATTTATGGCCTTTCTGTGACCCCCAATTCTGCCTTAGTTCAGTTCCTCATCAGTTATTGCCTGGACTATTATAAGCGTTTAAAGCCTCTCCCTTTTATTTCTCTTTTATTAAAAAAATATATTTTCCTTGGTAATTTTCTGAAATCACAAATCTGTGTATGCTACTGTTGTTTCAAATTCTTATTGCTTTTGGAGTAACATCCAAACTGTTTAACATGGCTTATAAGACACTTCATGACTTGCTTCTAACTGGTCAGTCTAATTTTCGGCCACTTTCCCTAGGCACTCCTTCTCTGTCCCATCTATACGGGAGCTAACTTATCCTCCCCATATCACTCAAGCTCCCTCACCCCTCTGTACCTTTGCATGAGCTATTCCTTGCCTGTAAGATCTTTTCTTTCTCTTGTCCACTTGACAAACCCATTCTTCTTATTGTCAAGTCTCCTCTCCTCTAAGCGACACTCCTGTATGTTGTTTTGCTCCCGTCCTCCAGTAGAGTTGGGTCCTCTTTTCTAACTCTAGTGAAGCATTTATCATGTCTGTTTTACCACTAGAGTGAATTCTTGAACGAAATACCCATCTTATTCATCTTTCAACTTCGGTGTCTGGCACAGTGCTTTGCGTATAGTAAGTATACCACTGATGTGTCAACTGAAATTAATTGAATTAACCTTACTCTAGGAAATGCTTCTCCCTTCCCTAGTTGCTAAACTGTTTCAAAAATAAGACAGTTGAAATTTATTCAACACTGCATCCTAGAAACAGTATCAAGCATTTTCATGTGAGCTATCTCATTTAATCCCAGTCACAAAGCTATAAAATAGGTACTACGATTTTCCTGATTTTAATGCAGAGAAATGTGATAATTTGCCCAAACTTGCAGAGCTAATTTGTGGAGAAGGGAGAATTCAAGTCCACAGTTCCTATGCTATACTATACTAGGTGATGTATTAATCACATAATCAGTGGATTACTGCAATCAAATATTCACAACTCTTAACTGGTCAGTTAAGATCAATCCACTAAGCTCCTTGAAAATACTTTATTCAAAGAATGCTTTGCCTTTAGCCCCCTGTTATATCAATGTTTCATATTATGAATAAAACGAATACAGTTCTTACTTTTACAAACTCTCTTAAAAGATAAACCTGAAGCTTAGAATATAATATTTACCTGAACACAGGAATCCCCACCACAGAGTAAATGTCATTGAGATGTATAAAGATCTGAAAGGATAAACACAGAAGTCAGAATGGAACAAGAAACTGCATTACCAAAGTATTGGTGCCTGAACAATGTATATCTGTATACCTAAGCCTTAACTGTACCCCACAATTTTAAAATAAAAAATATGTTAATAAAAAAAAAATTCCAAGGCCTTATCTGTCATATCTGGAAAAATGTTCCATATTTTTTTTTAAGCAGAAGCAAACTAAATTTTAAGTATACGTCATAGAAACATTTTAAGGTTTAAAAAAAAAAAAAAGAAAAATTCTAAGTTGAAAAAAAAAAAGGAAAATTCTGAGGTAAATTTGGTTTACAAGTTACATAGAAACACAGGTTACAAAGAACTCAAGATCAACTTTCTTCCCCAAGATTCTCTGAACTATCCTAACTGGATCAGATTTTTCAGTATTCTGGATTAGAGAAGATTTCCTAAATCTACCCTAATTCTAACCTCAAGTTAAAACTCAAGGCCACACAAGTCTATAATAGGCCACAAACACTTGCAGGATAAGAGAACATGTTCTTTAGGTCAAATACATATGTATATGCTAGCCAGGGTGCCCTTTTCTCTATCCATGGGTGAGTTTTTGCTTCTCTTTATTTCCTTTCTTCTGTTAGGCCACGAAGAACATTTAAATGCCTCAAGTTATAATTAGTAGCCCACAAAAATGTAAAATTTACAATCTTTCTTACTTTTATAGTTTGATAAGGCTTGTAGAATACTCAAATTGTTGCTTTGAACATCAAAAGCATTTAATTCCTGGTACTTTCACCCCAAGGCTATTTTTCATATAAGAGTGTAATCAGAATTATTCAAATACTGACACATCTTCATCAGGAAAATAATTATCTGGAGTGACTCCATTTGGCCAGTTTAATTCCTCAATCAATTGATAAAGTTACCAATTAAAGCTAAAGTTACCAATTTTATATATTATATATTTTAGCAAAATCACTAATTAGAATTTTCTATTTATAATTTATACTAAAGATTTGATATGCTTACATGTCAAATGTTACTATGAATAATAGCTTCTCCCACTATAACTTTTTTCCTATCTATTTTGCAGAACAAAATTTGTTAATATTTGATTCTTCTGTTAATTTTTAGTCACAGATTTTGATATATGAAATTTTAGTGCTGTCAATTTGTTTTGTGTTATCTGTACCAATAACAGCTATTCTTAACTACATTAACATTGATTTTTTGGGCCAATCTATAAGAAAACTGTAATTCTGAGGCAGTGTAATAGACTCAAGGGAGATGTGGAGAAGCAGACCAGAAGAGGAGATGATAAGGGAACTGGGAGGGGAGATGGAGAAAGACATCTCACATCAGAACAGTTTCAGGATCAATGTATTTAGCATGACAAGCAATAAAAAAGATACACCAGATTACTTTTTAACAGTGAAAAACATCAGCTACAAGGAAATTTAAAAATAGAACAACATAAAATGTTCTGGTTTATTTGGCCAGCTATTACTCCATTTAAAGCTACATAACAAGCAATAAATTTATGAAATAGTAAATCACAAAAATGATTAGGTATCAAATTTATAAGATGGTTCTCAAAAGGTAGTGAAGAATATTTTCTGTTTCCCCATGCAAATGTTGTTTGTTCCAATTAAAAAGTATAACTTTATTAATTTTTAAAATATAGAAAAGAAAAATATAATCCCATAATGCTAACAAAAAGTCAACTATTAAATACTACTTAATTTTGTGCAGGTCTTTTTTTTTTTAACATTAGTTAGAATTTCATAACATAGAAACATGTATTACAGAGACATCTCTGCAACTTCATAATAAAAAATTTTTTCTTCATCTGGGATCAAACAACTTCATTCCAAAAAATCTTTTTTTGGAGCTTGGATAAGACATTTTCACAGTAAAAACTACTAAGAAAATTATCTGTACTATTCTACTGCTAAAGAGAAAGGAGATTGCTGGATCCATGTAGACATGCTTTTTAAAACTGTAAAGTGAGCCAGGCTTGGTGGCTCAGCCTGTAATCCAGCGCCTTTGGGAGGCTGAGGTGAGTGGATTGCCTGAGCCCGTAGGTTCGAGACCTGCCTGGGCAACTTGGCGAGACCTCATCTCTACAATAAATCAAAAATTAGCTGGGCATGGTAGTGGGCGCCTGTAGTTCCAGCTACTTGGAAGGCTGAGGTGGAAGGATCGCCGGAGCCCAGCAGATCGAGGCTGCAGTGGCTGGGAGCGGCCACTGCACTCCGGTCTGGGTGACAGAGTGAGACTCCAACTCAAAAAAAAAAAAAAGAAAAAACCTGTAACGTGGAAAAGTACAATAAGAACAGATGACATCACCTTTAAAGAATTAGGTAACAAGTATAAAGATACAGCAAATATTTATTACCTCTAAATTTGGATTCCTCAAATCTGCTTTCCATCCAAACTGTTTCATAAGAGCAATTCCAATTACTCTCCCTAGCTCCTGGAAAAGTAGTAAATTAAAAGAAAAGATAAAAATACTAAACATGAACATTTTAAATTTAAATGTAAACAAAAAGAGAGCAACCTGTAGGAAAATCAAATCAGACTATCTGATGGCAATTTAGGGTTCCAATATTAAAATACCATAAAAAAGCCTTCAACTCAAGGCACTTACTGCATTTAACCTATACTCCATGGCATTATTAATATCTACTCATTTATAATCCTTAATTTTATAATTTTAAGTTCACGACCTCATAAATATGGTCAATATGAGTTTTAGGAAATGGATGCAAGCTGAAGAATTGACTATTTCAGCTACTGTGAGCCTATATGTTTAAAAATTACCAGGTCAGTATCATCAGACTCAGTCTTTTTTTTTTTGAGTTGGAGTCTCACTCTGTCGCCCAGACTGGAGTGCAGTGGCTGCTTCCGGCCACCGCAGCCTCGACCTGCTGGGCTCCGGTGATCCTTCCACCTCAGCCTTCCAAGTAGCTGGAACTACAGGTGCGTGCTACCA